TCAGGGTGATCACCTCATAAGGTATATAAATGTCTAATCACTGTCATACATCTGAAACTCATGTAATATCTGTCTTTGTAGGTGATAAACTTAAAAGGTATTATTGGGAGGAATTAAGGAGATATAGAAATCTTATACACTGCTTATGGAAATGTAAATAGTAAAAATCTTGGTAAGCAATCTGGTGAAAATCTATGAAAATGAAAAATACAATCTTAAGGTTAAGGGGTACAGGTCAGGGGTAGAACATTTAACTGCAGATCAAAAACACAATCCTTTTAGAACTTTAAAATTTTGAATCATGTGACCTTAACACCTACATATATACATATGTGTATATATATATATTTTCTTCAAGCCATTGTCCTATGCCTATACATCTGTCCCACAGAAATAAGAGTCCTCACATGTAAGGATATGTGTACTATAATACTTACTGCAACATTGCTTCTGTCAAGTCAGTCGTAATGTGCCCTACTTTTTATATTGCAGTATTGTTCATCACAACAAAGAGAGAAATAAACACAATCCCTTGCAATAGGCAGGTGGGAGACTAAATTATGACATAACCACAATGGAATTTAAAAGAATGAATTCAAGTTGACACGAATGGAGTTCCACAAACTAGCATTGAAGGAGATAGCAAGTGGCAAGAAACTATATGATTATGATCCTGTTTTATGACCAAAAATAGCTCCTATAAAAATGAACACATACCTATATAAAAATACATATATGCAAGGGTACGTGAATACATATATACATAGTTACAGGTGTGAATGTTCACAAACTATATTAACAACTGCACTCACTTGTTAACATAGGTTACCTGAAGGTTAGTTGACAGTGGGGAAAGCAAGTGAAAAATACATTTTTTAAAAGACTACAATGATTGAAAATAAATAAATGGAATATGATCCCACTTAGTTAAATTTAAAAGATATAAATGAAAAGAAAAACAAACACAGGAAACGAAAAAAATAAAAACTGCCATGGCCGATGTAGCTCAGTTGGTTGTAGTATCAGCCCACACACCAGAAGGTCGTGGCACATACCTAGGTTGCTGGTTCAATCCCCAGTCAGGGCACAAACAGAAAGCAACCAATTTCTCTCTCTCTATCTCCCTCCCTCTCCCTCCCTCCCTTTCTCCCTCTCTCTAAAATCAAAATTTTTTAAAGAAGAAAAATAAAAACTGAATTTATGTGACAATAACTATGACTTCCCCAAGTAATGCTAACTAGAGGATCCAGCTGCTTTCTTTTAAATCAATTTCCACAGAGAACAGTTTCTGCAAAATGTAAAATAAAAACAAATTTATCTATACTTTCTGGGTTCATTTTTTCCCTTAAAAAAACTTTTTTAAATTTCCCCTTTTAAAAATTATCAGAGAAATGCAAATTAAAACCACAATGAGGTACCACCTCACACCTGTCAAGATGGCTACCATCAATAAACAAACAAACAAGTACTGGTAAGGATGTGGAGAAAAGGGAACCCTCATGCCCTGTTGGTGAGAATACAGATTGATGCAGCCACTATGGAAAAGAGTATGGAGAATCTTCAAAAAATTAAAAATAGAGCCACCATACGACCTAACAATTCCACTTCTGAGTATCTATCCAAAGAAAATGGAGACACTAATTCAAAAAGATGTATGCATCCCAATGGTTATTACTTACATGCAATAGCCAAGATATGGAAGCAACCTAGGTGTCTACTGATAGATGACTGGATAAAGAAGATGGGTATATACATATATACAATGGAATATTACTGGCCCATAAAAAGTGAGATCTTGCCATTTGTAACAATAATATACTAGTATCTAGAAAGTATTATGCTAAGTGAAATAAGTCAGACAGAGAAAGATAAATACCATATGATTTCATTTTTATGTAGAATCTAAAAAAAAAAATCAGACTCACAGATACAGAGAAGAAAACAAACTGATGGTTGCCAAGAAATGGGAATGGACGAAAAAGGTGAAGGGGATTATCATGTGGATGTAATGCACAGCATAGGGAATATAGTCAATAACATAACAATTTTGTACAGTGAGAGATGGTTACTTTATAAGGTATGTAAATGTTGAGTCACTATGTTATACACCTGAAATTAATGAATTACCATATGTTAACAATAATTTAATAAAAATAAAAGTAGACATCTGATATATTTACTTGTACTACTTTTCTGTAGACATAATATTGCTGGGTCTTATTTATTTTCTATATAAAAATGTCAGTCATTTTATTGGCAATTTTTATCGGTTAGCATTTTTCATAATAACTTATATGTTAATTAATCTAACATTTATTTCTGCCATCTTAACTTCTGTTCTTTATTTTTGAATGTCTTCTTTTTTCTCTATTTCCTGTTGAATGGTTCTAAGTTACTTATGTTTGCTGTGAAATTTGTGTTCTATTTTTCTTCTTATGGTTATTCCTAACTTATTAAGATCCATGCTTAGATTTGTTTTTCTCCATCAATTTCTATATTTCATCAATAGCTATATTTCCTTTGAGAAAGACACCAAACACTTAGCATGCTTTTACTTCTGGTTCCCCACCCTCCATCATTCCCTCAGTTTGTTATATTCTAGAATTTGATACTCGATCATTATACTTATTTTCCCCTTGGGACATTGCTTATTTAGACAACAGATCTTACTGAGTTGCTTACTCTCCAGTAATTCTTATCATTCTAATGGAATACTTTCTTCAAGAGTGTTTACAAATTGTGTGTGTATAATATGCCTTCTGAGGCCTTTTATGCCAGAAAACATCCTTATTTCACTCTCACATTTCAATGAGTTCAGTTAAATATAAAAGTTTAGATTCAAATTTCTTTTTAAAAAATACTTAGGCCTGGCCGATGTGGCTCAGTGGATTGAACATCATCTTATGCACCAAGAAGTCACTGGTTTGATTTCCAGGCAGGGCACATGCCCGAGCTGTGGGCTCGATCCCCAGTAGGGGGGCATGCAGGAGGTGGCCAATCAATGTTTTCCTCTCATCGATGTTTTTATCTCTCTCTCTCTAAAATCAATAAAAACATATTTTAAAAATGCTTTGAAAATATTACTCTAGTGTTGCTATTAAGAAGGTAAATGTGAATCTAATTCTTGTTCCTTTATAGATGACCTACTTCTGTCTCCCTGGATTTGTTTGTGTTTAAATTCTACCTGAAGGTGTCAAGGAGTTGATATTTTCCCTTTTAATTCTCTTGTTTGGTGAACAATACGTTCATTCAACCTTTTTCTAATTGTGAGGAAATTTCAATTAGCAGTACTTCAAATATTTAACTTCTGTTTATTTTTTTCTTTCAGGGCCCCTATTAATCAAACGTTGACACATATTCCATTTCTTATAACCTTTACTTTTCCTCCCAGTTCTTTGTTTCTTCTTGATGCCTCTGGGAATGTTTCAAAACCCACTCCATCTCATTAACTCATTCGTCAACTGTATTCAGTCAACCCAGGAATTTTTAAATTTCTACTATATCTGATTGGATCTTTTTTATAACTTCTTCTATCTGTTCATTGTTTCTAATGCCCTCCTATAGTCCCTTGAGAATATTTATTAGGATTATTATAAATTCTTGTTTCTCTAGCTCATTAGTTCAGCTCTCTCTGGAATTAGTTGTTCAGTTGTGATCTCTCCTTCCAGTGCTTTACATCAGAGTTCGTCAGGTGACTATTTTTCCTATTCCTTTTGGAGTATCAGCTATCGTTCCCAGCTCCATCCATAACCCACTTGCTTCTGAGGCATCTCCAGAATTAGACTCAACAGAGGAAAACCACAATTGCTTTCAGTTCCCCATCTTGACTCTCCTAGATAGCAGAAACTAAACCGACTGCCCTCAAAATTTAGTCTGATTTAATGTGGTTGTCTTTTTGTGTTCAGTAGAGTTAGACTATGTCACAGGACCACCAAACATTTTCCATTTGTTTATGAGAAGAGTTATAGTTTTCTAGGGGTACTCGAGGGATAATAATGGCTCAGAATGGCAAATAACTATGGGAAGTGTAATTTATTTCCAAAATTTCTTGGATCCTTAATACTTTGTGATTGTTGCAATAAATCTTACTTTCCCTCCTCTTCATAGACCTGTATAACATGATTTTTCATTTCAAAAATTATCAAAATTTAGTTTTTGTTTTTTCAAGATTTAGTTTTGAAGGTTTTTTAACTGAACACTATCAAACCCCCAAGATGGGCTTTCCAAGACCTGTTTGGATATTGCTGATATAAAAATATAATAGAAATTGGTTTGGCATGTTCTATGGAAATATTTGTCTTGCTTCCATGTTTTTGATACATCAATATTTGTATCTCACAAGACACCTGTATAGATGCCTAGCCTTTTCTTTTTGACATTCACTTATTTGGCATATGTTTGCTGAACACTTGCCATACTATTGTTCTCATTGCCAGGTGCCCAGCAAGGACACAGCCCCTGCCTTCAGAGCATTACAGTCTAACAAAGACTCCAGATAAAATGTAGGTTCTGTTAGAGCAGGGATTTGTGTGTGTGTTGTGTTGTTTTCCAGTGTATCTTGGGTACCTAGAACAGTGTAAATATTGGTTGAATGATCAACAAGTAAATATTTGACACTAATTACCAGTGTGTTGAACATTATGGAGGGAAAGTACAGGTGTTGTGATGAATATAAATAGGAGGCCTTCCCTTCCCTAGGGGATCATATAGAATTAGTTCTCCAACTGATAGAGCTATCTTTAAAGTAGTTCTTTTTCCAGGCTCACTTAAACAATCAGCACCTACTTCCTATTTGGGCCACCCTCCTATTATGCCTGAAGGCTTGAGCCACAGTGGATGTTTCAGTAATCGATTTCTATAAATGCGAAGTTAGATGGATTGCTTAACAATACCCTATGTGTATAGAAATAAAAGAAAAATCACAATTTAATAATGCTGACTTGTGTTTCTTGCTTCTTGCCTGCCCACTGCCCTACCCCATTTTCTTTTCTAACTGACAGATGAAGGAGCTTCTATGCACCCTTGTGATGACACGTACTGCGGACCTTTCCCGGAATCTGAGCCTGAAGTAAAAGCTGTCGCTAACTTTCTTCGAAAACACAAGAAGCACATTAGGGCTTACCTCTCCTTTCATGCATATGCTCAGATGTTGCTGTATCCCTATTCTTACAAATATGCAACAATCCCCAATTTTAGCTGCGTGGTAAGTATTTGCCTGTGAACAGGTGTGCCAGGCTTCTTGCTTCTTTTGAAGATGATTCATGATAATAGCAAACATATATTCTGTGTGTTCTAATGAACATTTTATAATATATGAACTCATTTATTTTTATAATCATAGAAGGGGGGAAACTATTAACCCCATTTTACTGACTGATGAGGAAACGGAAACCTAGAGAAATTAAATAATTTTACTAAAAACACATGGCTACTAAGTGTCAGAGCCAAGATTCAGCCCCAAATCTAGCTGCAGGGCTATTGCTTTTAACCCACTGTGCTCTGCTGCTTTTCTGATGCAATCATTTCACCCTGTTTACATTCTCTCCACAGGTTATACAGAAAATGTTAGGATGGATTTTATTAGTGTTACAGTTCTGGTCACATGTACACTTTATTGAGTAAATAACTGCTCATAAATTATGGCCTGACTCATTAATTAAAAGCAAGTTTTAATTTATAAGTGCTATTTATTTTATGCTACTAAGTCTTTGGGCATGTATCTGACAAGTTAGTACTAAGAATGAACAGCCTTTCTGGCATAAGATTACGTAAAAGTGAAAAAGCAGTGTTCCTTTCTCTCCATATCTCAATAACAAGCTACCCACTGTAGGCATAATTCCTTGTAAACTGGGTCTGGTTCAGAGCCTACAGTGTCTAAGGCCTATCAAATTCAAAACCAGGCCAAACTAATGTATAGTGTTAGAAGTGAGGAGGAGAGGTTGGGAGCAGTGATTGAGAAGAGGCATGGGCGAGCTTTGGGGTTGCTGCTGCTATTCTATTCCTTGACCTCAATGGGGTTACATAAGTGCGTGCAATTTGTGATCATTCACTGAGCTGTATATATGTTATACTTAAATTTAAAGGGTTTTACAAAAAAGAAGCATTTCCTTTCTCCCTATACCTTAATCTGCAAATCCTGTGCCAGTTGCTTGGGGTTGTAGGAATTCCTGATCTAGATGCTCAGGACTGGAAGAAATAGGGAACATGTGGAAGACAGAAGGCCTATGGGAAGGCTTGCATTCTGTCTAAAAGAGGAACTTTGTTCTTGGCATCACAAGCAAGAATTCCAAGCAAATGCTCTCTCTCAAGAAATATTGGGAATGTGGTCGTTACATTTGATAGTGCTATTGAGAGTGCTATTCTTCAGCTACTCTGAGGGTCAAATAGGGTTTTTGTTGTTATTGGTGTTGACCTGGCATCCTAACCACCTTGTATCACAATGTTTCTATAGGCAAATGTTCAGTCCTTTCTAAATGGCACAGTGTCTCTTTATATGCTCATAACACATTACATGGAGTATGCAGTATATTAAAACTATTACATGAGAATGTTCTCCATATTTTGAATTTATCTTCTCTCTAGGAATAAAGCCTGTTTTCTTTTTGTCTTGGATTGGAGGGTGCAATATAAAGAGTAGATTAGTTTTTCAACCAAGGATAAATTTGCCTCCCAAGGGACAATGGAGAATGTTGGAGACATTTTTGATTGTCACAACAGAGCTGGAAGATGCAATTGACATCTAGTGTGTAGAGGTCAAGGATGCTGTTGAACATCCTACAATGCACAGGACAGCCTCTCACAGCAAAGAATTATCCAGTCCAAACTGTTAGTAGTGCCACTATTGAGAAATCCTGTTAGTGGGTTACGTATAAACTAAATCGCTAAAATAGGATTATGACTCTCAGAAGCTAGGTAGTCTCTGAATGTCAACCAGAAACCATTACATTCTATTCATAGTTTAAATTAAAATTGTTCATAAACATTCCATCAATATGTAGGAGTCTGTGTTTCAGCCAATATTTTTAGGTCATTCATTAAGTTGCTTTAAATATGGAAATAAAAGAATATATATTCCTGTCTCAGCTGAGGCCCGATACCTGAGGCCTGCATCCTTTTGGACAATTGGAAAGAGAAAGCAATAGAGAAAAGAACTTATATGCATATATGCAAAGCCCATAAATATAGACAATAGTGCAGTGAAGAAGGCCTGGGGGAAGGGAGAGTGGGATGGAGGGGGTCAATAGGGGGAACAAGGGAAACATCTGTAACACTTTCAACAATAAGGATAAATAAAAATAAAATAAGATAAATAAAATTAAAAAAGAGGAAGCACTTAAACTCTCTCAAATACATGTCTAGCTGTGCAAGCCGGGAAAAGGGTTCTTTAAAAAATGTACTGAGCCCTAACCGGTTTGGCTCAGTGGATAGAGCGTCGGCCTGCGGACTGAAGGGTCCCAGGTTTGATTCTGGTCAAGGGCATGTACCTTGGTTGCAGGCACAACCCCAGTAGGGGGTGTGCAGGAGGAGGCTGATCAATGTTTCTCTCTCAGTTAAAAAAAAAAATCAATAAAATATATTTTTTTTAAAATGTGCTGAAGTTTCCATCTTCTGTAGAAGGATCATATCTAAGCCTCTTATCTACAGACACCCGCACCGAGTGGTAGAAGAGCAGTGAGCTGAAAAGCCTAAAACTATGTAGGTGTTTTGTGTATGTAGGTAAAAGTGGATATCTGGGTTTTTTCTTCATAGATTTTTCCTTTGGGTTAGTCATGAAATAATGAGGAACGAAGGTCTCTGCACCCGCAGAATGGAGTAATCTCCTAGATGTAGGATGATCTGCCCTTTCCATGGAATATTTCTGTGGCCGTTGGATAAGATGTTAAAACAGTAGAACATTCTCCATAAAGATACCTCATTATGGTGTTTTACATTCTTTTTCTGCTGGCTCCTGAAAAGGAGAATGTCAGCATCAGTGAGATCAATAATCGATTGTCTGCCAGGTTCTGGAGCCTGGTCCCTGAATAGCCACAAAGGGTGGCATTTGCTACCAATGCTGCTTAATGCATCCCTGAGGTGAATGAGGACAGCAAGCTGAAGCTGGGTCCAACACACAGCCCACGTGGCCCAGAGCGCTTCAACTGGCGTATTCAATTATTCATGGACAAATTGAAACGGGAGAGTTGTATACTGGTTTCAACAAACTTCTTTACCTCTCACTGGTCATACAATACTTGCCTAACTCTTTGCTGAAACGTGTACTTTGGACCATTTGAAATGTGTTCAAGAGTAGTCGGTATCATTCTAGCTCATGTTAGAATATTCACCCTTTAGTATTTTGACTGTGCTGAATATTTTCTCTGGTTTTTGACATTGGGAGGAAGAGTTTCACCTCAAAATTTCTACATCTTGGAACTACTGGCTGGCTCCGCCAGAGGTGTATGTAACTTCAGAAGTTGTGGCACATTCTGAAACTGTCCCCGTTCCCAGTAGGAATAAACACATAAGACAAGTCATTCTTGCTGAATCAAAGAGCTTCCTAATTGATCCATATGTGTTCTAAATATCTTGTACATCACCACTGAAGTATGTACTTAAGGATCAATAAGATTACGTTGATACTCTTGCTGATCTATGCTTATTCAACATTCATGCAAGACGTATTGATTAAACATCTCTTATGTGAAGGCACATGTCTAAATATTGAGACGAGCCTGCCCTACCAAACATGTTGTAATTTATAGAAATAGGTGTCTCGGAACTAATGTGAAGAATACAGAAGTCTAAGTCAGCATTAGAAGATAGGAGTACTTATCCACTTATCCCAACTCAATCCCTCCTTGCCGTGTAAGCCCAGCATGCCCATTTCACCTCACTGGGACTCCCTTTTCTCGTCTGTAAAATGGAAATGTTACTGATCACTGGCTCTTAGTGAGGATAAATCAAAGGAAATGTGTTCTAAAACATATTTCAAAATTCAGCATGTGACAAAAAGTAACATAACATTATTATTAAATATGGCTGTTAACTGATGTGTCCATCCTTGTTCTTCAAAGTGACGACTGATAAGGCTCAAACAACATGCAGTGTTTCCAAAGGTTTCAATGCAATGATGTAAGTGACATAATTTCTCCATTTTTTCCTCACAGGAATCTGCAGCTTATAAAGCTGTGAATGCACTTCGATCAGCATATGGGATACGGTATAGATATGGACCTGCCTCTAGCACCTTGTGTAAGTTTCCTGTGTGTGTTGTGTTAGAGTCATTTATTGAGCCAATATCCTGTATAATGACTTCCCTTTAAAAAAAAAGAGAAAGTGTGTGCCCCCTAACATGAAATTTTTGACTACCAAATTAGCCAAGGAAGATGAAGGGAGTTTATATCGGATTAGTTTTACACTGCTCAACAGAAATCACTGTACCAATTTAAATAAATTTGAAGCAGAGAATATTCTAGTCATGTAGTAATGACTGCCAAGTTGAATTGAGATCTTATGGCAGCAGAAAGTACCAAAATGGGCTCCTTAAGCAATTGTAACCGCCATAAGCCTGGAACTGGGCCTTGGGGAAATCCTGAAGTAATGTTTCAGCATGAACAGAGCTTCCTTTTTATTCCTTTCCTCCACCATTCTTGTTATGAAATTCTATTTCTTACATAGCATCTTCAGCTGAATTTTCCCTTAAAAGGTGATTGAAATATATCTTATTTTATATAAAATAAAGAACAATTGAGAAAGAACTCAGACGAAGAATTGGGACACATGGATTCTAGTCCTAATTCTGCCACAAGCCAGGATACAATCCTGCCCAAGACATTAATCCTGGGCTTCAGTACCCAGAACTGTTCAATGAGAAATCAGACAAATCATATCTCGTGGCCTTTCAAACTCTGAAATTCATTGACTATATGACTTGAAAAATCTAGTGAGAAATCCTAAATAACTGACTGTCCGTGTATGCATGTTAAAGTGTAGACACACACAGATCATGTGTATATGTATATATAGTGACACCTGATTATGCATTATAATAAAGTAGCAAATTTCTCCTGATGTCTTTAATCATCATTATATTCATAACCATTCACTTTTTTCAGCCTTCAGAAGAAAAGCTTGGTTTGTCCATTAACACTACTTATCCTAATAATGAGAATGTCCTAAGTATCAGAACTTTTTTCACACTCCATGATCATTAGTCTCAGGCTAACCTTTTCGGAACTACTTTTCAATAAAGTCACCCTGAAAGGGGAAATACAGTATTTTTAAAAATCACATTATGAACTTCCAGTCAAGATGGTGGGGTAGGTAAACGATGTGCTCACCTCCTCTCATGATCACATCAAATTACCAATGAATTGTAGAACAGCCACCCTTGAGAACCACCTGAAGACTAACTGAACAGAAGTCCTATAACTAAGGATATAAAGAAGAAGCCTTGTCAGGCTGGTGTGGCTCAGTGGTTGAGCATCCACCTGTGAACAAGGAGATCATGGCTCGATTCTGGTCAGGGCACATGGGGGCATGCAGTAGGCAGCTGATCAATTATTCTCTCGCATCATTGATGTGTCTATCTCCCTCTCCCTTTCTCTTCCTCTCTGAAGTCAATTTATATATGAATTTTAAAAAGAAGTCTCTTATAGACTGGTAAGGGGCAGGGACACAAAATGGTCTGGTCCCACACCCATTTTGTGGAGGTTACAAATCAGAAAGGATATCTTGGCTGCAGAGGTGCCACCTGAGGAGGGAAAGCTACCAGCCCCTCAGAGGGCTCCCCAGCCCAGAGCACCAGGGCCAAGAAGAGGAGTCCCCACCACCTGTGGCTGTGAAAATCAGCAGGGATCTGTCCAGGTGAGATGGAGGGCTGCTCTAGATCCAGGCGTCCTCTTAAAAGGCCTGAGCACAGACTCACAAACACTCACCCTAAATCACAGGGAAGGCACAGAAGCTGGAAAAGCACCAGGGGTTTGTGGGGAGGAAATGAATTGACTGGCTTCAGGGTGGGGCCAGAGAGGCAGTTCTGTCCAAGGACAGAAGTACTGCCAGGCACCATTGTTCCTTTGTTGAGCCCTCCCCCAACTCAGCCGGTATGCACAAGCAGGTGACAAATCTGAGTCCCTAGCCACCTGGTTAGTACTTGCCCCACCCTGGTGATTACCTAAGACCCCGCCCACCCAACTCACACACCAGCTGGAACCACGTCCAGCTGCTGTTCCAATGAGCAACCAGCCTTGGCCCGTACTGCAGACTTCACTAAACTCTAAGGTCTACAAACCCAAAGCAAGCAGTGTCTGGCCTCAGTATGCTCGTACAGTACCTCTTGCTAAGCAGCCCCAAGCCCAGCACTAGTGGCAGCCGGCTTCGGTGACAGCATAGCCTTTCCCAGGCACCTTTAAGCCCAACATAGACAACTAGCAATTGCAGATCATCTGAACAGACATTTAACCAAAGAGGACGTACAGGTGGCAAATAGACATATGAAAAGATTTGCAACATCACTAATTATCAGAGAAGTGCAAATTAAAACCAAAATGAGATATCACCTCACACATGCCAGAATGCCTATCCTCAATAAATCAACAAACAAGTGTTGGCAAGGATGCAGAGAAAAGGGGACCCTCCTGCACTGAGGGTGCAGCCACTATGGAAAACAGTATGGAGGTTCCTTAAAAATTGTAAATTGGAACTACCATATGGCCCAGCTATTCCGCTTCATGGTATTTGTCCAAAGAAAATTAAAACACTAATTTGAAAAAATACATGCATCCCTATGTTTATTGCAGCATTATTTACAATAGCAAAGATATGGAAACAACCTGTGTCCATGGATAGACAGTCAGATAAAGAAGAGTTGGTACATATATACATTGGCCATAAAGAAGAATGCAATCTTGCCATTTGTGACATTTGTGACAACATGAACTGACCTAGAATTATTATACTAAATGAAATAAGTCAGACAAAGACAAATACATATGATGTGGAATCTAAAAGACAAAATAGAAACAAACTCATAGATACAGAGAGCAGATGATTAACAGATGGGAGGGGGATTAGGGGACTAGCTGTAAAGGGGAAAGGGTTTAAGACGTACAAATTACACAGACAATTGCGGGGGGGAGGCTGAGACTAGGGGGCAGGGGCAGACTGGGTGACGACAATGGGGGGAAAAGGGGACTATGTAATACTTTCAACAATAAAGAATATTTTTTTTAAAAAATAAGTACAAGTTGGCAGTTACAAAATAGTTACGGGATGGGAAGTACAGCACAGGGAATATAGCCAATAATATTGTAGTGGTTCCAAGGAGCTGCTAGCCCAATTGGGCAGGGTCTCCTCATAAGGTATATAAATGTCTAATCACTATGCTGTAAATCTGAAATTAACATAATATTGAATATCAACTATAGTTGAAAAATTAAAAATTTTAAGTAATGGGGGAAAATCACACTACCAACTAATACCAATATATATATTAACAATTTCAAAACATTCATTTTAAAAATCTCACACTTCACCTTTGCAGCTTGGTATCACGGCACAGTCATAGTATGATATTTACCGAGCAGAACCTGTTACCATAGAAATGAGGCTGTCACATGACCATGAGCTAACTGTTGGCACAGATTGTCTCTGGCTTTGGCTACTATGACGACTGTTTGTCGTTCCAGTGTACTCTAACCCAGAGGGACAATGAAGACACAGCCTGTCCTCACTGAAGCCAGAGGAGCCTGAGAAACAACAGAGTCATCTAATTGGCATCTTCCCACACTAATTCTCTGTCTAATTTGTCCTGGCAAAAATAGCATAAAAAGTGGTATTATTTGAAGAGATGAACATTTTAACGTAATGGTGTATGTCAGGCTACATTATATAAATTTCAGGAGAAAAGTATATAAAGATTATTCTATGGAACATGTATTAAATTATTAAGAGTATGTTTGGCTAAGAACTACATGCTAGGCACTTTGGGATGTAAAGATGAAAAATAGTAACAGCTAGTATAGGCTAAGCACGTTATTTTATTTCATTTTCACAACAACCCTGTGCCGTAGGTGTTATCCCTTTGTCAAAAGCAGAGACTGAGGCACAGAGCAGCCACAGGAGGGAGGATTGGATACCGTCTGCCTCTGTTGTCTGCACTCTTGACTCTGCTGAAAAGCTGGAATGTATGGGGTCACAGGAGCCAGAAGGAGAGAGCTGTCAGGAAGGATTGTCAACTAGGGTAAATGCTATGGAGAGGTTGAAAGTTTGAAAGTGGAATCTGAGTGGGGAACGGGGAGGGGGGCGGGGGGGCCGGGGAGGGAGAGAGATCAGACCTGCTGTGCTTGGTGACCTTCAAGAAAAAAGTTTTCATAGACAGAGGCAAGAGCCAAAGTGAAAGTGACTGAAAATGTAGAAGAAACATATAGCAATTCTCTTTTAGTTTTAAAGTAACAGGCATATAGCAGGATCATGAGCAGGAAGTGCTGTAGGAAAGCAGTTTTTGAACACTTTGGCCAATGCAGCTGCAAGATACAGGGGGATTTAATTAATGAAACAAAGGCCTGGAGAAGGGACCCGCTCACTAGCAGAGAAGACAGTAATGAATGGTATCAAAAGATGACACATGTAAAAAAATGAGCAACATTTCTTCTTCTGAGCTAAAGGAGGGAAGTCAGAGGGCTATGAGGTCAGTAGAGGAGTTGCTGGCTAACTACTCATTGAGTATGGGAACAATAAGAAAGTGATGGGCAGGACTAGAGGGAATGAAAAACACTAAGTAAAGGTGTAGAAAAAGGAGCCTAGAGCAGCATCAGGAACAGAGAAAGACTTCAGTGATTAGTGTGAATTTATGGCAAAGACTTTCTCCAGCTCCCTCATAAGGCGTCAAAGCAAAGACCCTGGGTCAGGGATTGAGAATCAGCAAAACCAAGGCAGAAAAAAGACTGGGTGAGTCATTTTTAGGGTTCTGGTGAGAAATTCAGTGAAGTAATTGACCATGGCCAGGTATAGAGTCAAATAAAATTATAAGGCTGGGAACTACACACTTAAGCAAAGGCAAAGAACAAGTTCATTAGGAGGAAAAAAAGTAGGGGAAGTACAAGAAATGAGGTTTTCTGGGAACAGAATTGCAATATTCTAGACCTTGGAAGTGAAGAACTGAGTGATAAGAAGCAGAAAAGTCCATAGTGTGGTTTTGGTCATGGGTGAGTAAAGTTCGAGTGGAAATAAATGTTATTGGAGTTGAGGCTGAGAAATTTTGAGGTCAATACACTGGAAAAGCATTAAACCTAGACTAGGTTCTCAAAAATGGCAGGTCTGATTTATAAGGTCTCTGAGCCCGAGGCCAAGGAACTTCTGTTAAATCAATCTTGGTGAAACAGTATTTATTGGAAGAATTTGGTATAGCTTATTAATATATGCATTTTTGAAAATTATACAGACTCTTTAGTGAGGCCGGTTGTTGTTTTTTTCTTTTAACTTTCAGATGTGAGTTCTGGTAGCTCGATGGATTGGGCCTACAAAAATGGAATACCCTACACGTTTGCTTTTGAACTGCGCGACACTGGGCATTTTGGGTTTTTACTCCCGGAGGTGCTCATCAAACCCACCTGTACAGAGACCATGCTGGCCGTGAAAAACATCGCCATGCACCTGCTGAAGAAGTGTCCCTGAGACGGCCCGACGGTCAGGTCAACCGCCAGCGAGACAGCTGACTCTGCCCAGGAGCTGCTGGGCAGCGGATGAAAACTGTTCTTAAAGAGAGAGGCAACTGTTTGAAGTGAGCATATCTGTGGACTTTTAAAGGAACCTCTCATGCAATTCAACTCTCTGTGGCAATAAAAATGGTAAAAATGGTAATAAATAAATAAATAAGAGCATAGCCTCGTTTGTTGTAAGCAAAAGCATCCATTTTATACCCCATTAGAGTCTTGTTTGATTAAGGTGGGGATTTTTAAAATTCTTTTGTTTCACAAAATATACAAATTGAGAATGTCACTTCAATCAATCACCTGTTCTCGATTAAGGTCCACCAATGATGTTTAATCACTTGGTCCTTTAGAAATTGAAATTTTTGAAATGCAAAGAACTATAATTCTTAATAGGATAAGTATAAAATTTTCAAGACCTCAGATTATTCACAGCTTTACCCCGGGCATTAGTGTACCATATATCCATAAAAATATAGCAAGATAGAGCACATGAGTTTAGACTCTGAGAATACCACTTTTAAAATAGGAGAAAACATGAATTGGGCTGCCAGACACAGCATTAAGAGCTTTATGTAATGATCTCACATTATTCTTCAAATACTGTCAGGTAGCTACTGCTATTATCCTCATTTTTCAAATGAGAAAATTGAGGCTTAGAAAGGTGATATAGACTCTTATTTCCAGGAATATGACAGCATAGTACTCTATCTGGACTGCTGGAAATAACGAAAACATCTGGGGGGAAAAAAGATAATTTTTAAAATAATCTTTAACACATCAGACCAAAAAGTAGGGAAATCTCAGGCATACATTGAGCAAAGGCAGGAACCTAGAAAGGTAAGTGGTGCATCATTATCCTGAGGGCATTGTCACACCAACTGAGTACAGACTGATTTTCACAGCGTTTTGGAAAATGAGAGCAGAGAACGGAGCCCAAGGCTCCTCCAGGGTGAGAAGTCTAATAGCAGATTCTCCTACCAGGTTCTGGAGATTCAAGCGTAAATTACAAATAACCCCCATACTACCTCCAGTGGACCACAAGGAAAATGAACAATTTCAACTTTTGGCAAGAGTAAAGTGGGGAGAAATTGCCACTGAGAATTTAGAACCACCCGTCAACCCTCACCTGGGTTTGTGGCCCAAATTCACACGATAGGTATCCCCTGCTTTTCAAAAGTTTACTTTACACCACTCCACTTTAACAAAAGACCTACATTACTACCTGTTTCCACTAACCAAAAGAAATCTGAGGAAGATTTTTTTGAAAGTGAAAATAGCATTCCGCATCTGTTTTGCAGCCAATGCTAAAGAGACAGCTCACACCCCACGCATTGAGAGCAGCCCCAACGAGCCCCTTCCCAGGGAATCACACGCAGCATCCCAGCATTAAGCCACCAGATCTCTGAACTGTATCCAGGCTTCCTCCCGATTTATTTTATGCATCTATTATCAAGATGTGTCCTGAGGAAATGGCTTCTTCACTTTATGCCATGTCAGCCTTTGAAAGGTTTCTTAGGAACAAGCTACTTTTGGGTAGTGGGCGAAACCTATACCTAAGTGACCTGATAAACCTCCAACCAAGAATTTAACTCAGATTAACCCCAGATTGGATATACCCTCCAAGTATTTGGTAGGAGCAAAAACAAATCCTCTCAGAGGATTTATCTGATGCACCGTGAACAGCTGGATAAAGAGATGAGCCTAAAAACTTCCAGAGAGGCGGGGAAATGATCACAAGGGAATGAGGACTAGAGTGGCATGAAACGTCTCAATAGCCCCACAGAAGCTTGAAGACAATGGAGGGTTGCGCATTGTGTCAGAGTTTTGAGGAAAATTTCTACCCTTTCTATCCTAAAAATCTACATCCAGCAAAACAATCAATGAAATGTCAGGGTGGAATATTTTCATAAAATTGAGCTCCTTAATTATGTACCTTGTGAAGAATATGCTCTACTGAAACAAGGAAGTAAACCAAGAGAAAGATGTCAGATCCCAGAAAATCGGAATTCCAATACAGGAGAAAGGCATGGGGGGGGGGGGGGGAGACCTAAAAATAATGGTGAAGGGGAAAGTCCCAGTAACAGCTGTTTGTCAGGCTTAGAGAAAAACTGACTTCGAATAGGAGGAGAACTGAAGACTTCCGATGAAATTCTCCAAGATGAATATAAAACAGAACACGTAAACAGGTTCAGAGGCAATTTTTACTTGCATCAGAAAGTTTGGGGATGAATTAGTAATAAAAGCACAGAAACCAAGGAAATAAAAATTGCAATAGTTAACTCTGGTGAAAACAATGAGTAATACAAGAGAGGAAATATAATCATAGTATACCATATGACTTAGCTATAAATAGTATTCATACAGTTAAATAATGTTAGCCCTAAATATTAACCAAAATTGTGATATAAATATATTTAAAGGACAGGAAGAAGTACATGTATGTGAGAACAGGAGCTATACTAGTAGGAGAGCTAACTCCTCATCTGCCATAGTAGGAAGTCAATAGACAACACCTGAAACTGAAAAAACAATCAAGAAATATCAGTATTTGCATTTAATTTAGAAATAAAAAGGTAAGTACTAGAAGAAATAATTTAAGAGATTATGAATTATTGACTTAATGAAAGGGAATTGGGAGTGAAGAAGGATGGAGCAGAGGACTGCTGTTTGTTTGTTTTTTAATGTTTTTATTTATTTTAGAGAGAGAGGGAAGGAGAGGAAGAGAGAGAAACATTGGAGGGAGAACCATTGATCAGCTGCCTCCTACACACCCCCTACTGGGGATAGAGACCGAAATCCAGGCATATACCCGGGTCAGTAATCAAACCAGCCACCTCTCAGAGCATGGGACAATGCTCAACCAACTGAGCCAATCAGCCAGGCAGGACTACTGCTTGTAATATAAGCCTTGTCATATTTGATGGCTGTGGGTTTTTTTTTAAATCATACAAAGAATATACCCCTCTTAAAGGAAGATGGTTTTGTTTAAAATTAATTCCCAACTACTCACCACCCAGTCTTTTTGATGTTTATAAAATGTACATTGTTGCCCTAGCCAGTTTGGCTCAATGGATAGAGCATCAGCCTGAGGATTGAAGGGTCCCAGGTTCGATTCCAGTCAAGGGCATGCACATACCTTGGTTGCAGGCTCGATCCCTGATCTTGGTTGGGGTGTGTGCGTGAGGCAACCAGATTGATGTGTCTCTTTCACATCTATGTTTCTCTCTGTGTGTCTCTCCCCCTCCCTTCCCCTTTCTCTAAAAATCAATGGAAAAAGATCCTCGGGTGAGGATTAACAAAACAAAAACAAAAAAAGATATAAGAAAAAAAATAAAATAAAGTGTACATTGTTTCAATTAAAAAATCAAAATTAAATTTAAAAATAGTAAATGAGAACATATGTGTAATACCTAGCACAGACAGAACCTAGAATACAGGAGACAATCAGGAAATGTTAATCTTCTCTATGTTCTACCAACGTAATTTATCTCTTTTTCTCTAGTTCCAGTTATGTACCTGCAGGAATGGATCTCAGGCAGATTTGAGGCTCAGTCCGGCTTGGGAATAGTACACCTGGGACTTTAAAGGCCAAACCATCCCATCTGGCAGTACATGCTCAGAAATGATCAGGAATAGAGGGTTGCATACTAGTTATTTCCACCCACGGAATAGGCAAAAGCCAAAGGTCTCAGAACAACCAGGAGGGCTAGAAGGTCAAGACCCCCAAGACTGGGGAAATACTGCTTATCAAAGGACCTGACAAAGATGCACACAACTGACTGGTGTCATCTGGTGGCCTTCATGGACCCTGGATGCCAGGAAGCTTTGCCTTTGATTGGGAGCAGTTGCAGAACCCCCGTTCTGATAACTGTCTGGGTTGAGATCTTCTGCTGTTGTCTACTAATGTCTTTCCATCAAACATGATCACCCCTGTAATAACCAAACAATGATCAACTCTTGAAATAAGAATTTACAGATCACCTCCAAAATTCATTTTTTATATTTTTAATTTCCACCTATTCTATGCCCTATGGAATAAGATCTGTCAGCAAGTTAACACCAATAACTTAAATGTATATTATTTTATTTTTGCTTGTCCTTCACGTAGCATAGGTTCTAAGAATATTTTTTTCAACGTCAAAATAAAGACAACAGAAATGACAGAATCTGAATAATCCACAAATTGGCTGGGCATATAGTTTATTACCCACATATAGTTTCAAGATAAAAGTTGCCTTGATGAACCTCATGTAAATTCTTTTCAATAATTACTCCCACATTTCAGTAACACTGTATATATTTAGGGCTCAAGTTCTATAAGTGGGTATTTTAATATTTATAGGTTAATCTTTTTAAACTAAGCCACAGAATGTACTGCTGGCTGATTTATGTTCAAGGCACTCGGCTCAGTGCTGTGTGACGAGGGGTGCTAGGAACAAAAAGTGTTATCTTTACGTCGACACTTGCTTAGAATGTAAAAGTTAACCAAATGAAAAACAGCACATGCATTTTTTTAAAAAATATATATTTTATTGATTTTTTACAGAGAAGAAGGGAGAGGGATAGAGAGTTAGAAACATCAATGAGAAACATCGATCAGCTGCCTCCTGCATGCTCCCTACTGGGAATGTGCCCGCAACCAAGGTACATGCCCTTGACCGGAATCGAACCTGGGACCCTTGAGTCCACAGGCCGACGCTCTATCCACTGAGCCAAACCGGTTAGGGCAGCACATGCATTTAAAAAAAAAATAGTTTAGCAAGATACTTCCCCCACACACACTACTATCAAAAGTAATGTTATAGGTTCTGATCATGTTGAGCTGTAGCTCTCAACTTAGTTTCAGTGAGTGTATGAGTGACCTAGGTCTGCCATAACAAAGCACCACAAATAGGTGGCTAAAGACGACAGCAATTCGTCTCACAGTTCTAGCGGCTACAATTCCAAAATCAAGGTGTCAGCAGGGCCACGC